ATACTATAATGATACATGCATATCCATGTTTATAGCCGCAAAATTCACAATAGTCAAACTATGGAATCAGCTTGGTATCCATCAAGAGATGAATGGATGAGAAAATGTGGTATACATACACAATAAAGCTGTGTTCAGCTGTAAAAAAAAAAAATGAAATTATGTCATTTGCAGGAAAGTGGATGAAACTTGAGAACATTATGTTAAGTGAAATAAGCCAAGCTCACAAGGTCAAGGATCATATGTTTTCTCTTACATGGAGAAACTAGAGAGGAAAAAGAAAATGAAAGGTGGGGAGTGATCACCTGAAATGTAAAGGGAGATCAGTGAACAAAGGAAGGGGACCAGGGAGTCAAAGGAGGTGGTGGGTGGGAGGGCTGGGGAAGGATAATGGCCAAATTATATTGTTACATTGTGTGCATGTGCTAATATGTCTCAACAAATCCCACCATTATGTACAACTATATTGCACCAGTAAAAAAGAAAAAAAAATGTGTGGGCGGTAGACAGAGCAGAGGTTGGGACATAACCAAAGACCAAGTGCAGGACACTGGCTTTCTCATAACCTACAGCCAACTCCGTTAAGCACCAATTCTTCCTTCAGTTCCAGAAGAAGAAGTTGTGAGTGTGCATCTGAAGAGAAGCAAATTCTTCCAGGAGAGTGGTCAGATGAAAACACCAGGACTGAAACAACACACCATGCACATTCACTAGCCTCTGTCAGTATGAGAAGGCAGGCCTTCTGGAACTGGGCGCAGCTCTCGCTGCCTGGCCAGGACATATGTGTGCATTTCAGCCAAGGATTCTGCACAGAGGAAGCAATCAGCCATTTATCAAGTGGACAAATTAGTCACTTCTAAACCTTCAGGACCATGCCTGATTTATCTGCGACTAATAACAGTCTCCTTGCTTTTAATCTGGCCAACCTATCTATCATCCATCCATCCATCCATCCATCCATCCATCCATCCATCCATCTATTCAGCAAGCCTCTGTTGTGATTACAGAATTCCATAACAGAGACAGTGTGGGGCCAGATTCCTAGAAAATGACATCAGAAGTATAAGGGAGGAAGCCCAGCCTGAAAGTCTAAGTCTGCAGAATGCTATCTGGAGAGCTTGGCCAGGATGAGCAATGGCTTTGTTTGGGATACTAAATGGCCTTGGCAGATGCCACATGTTTGGGGGCTTCATAGTCAAAGAGAGATCTCAGGCCTTGCTGGTTCCTATTTTTCCCACAGTGTCCTGGAGTCCCACAGGGTACCCTCCAGCACTGCTGCAGGAGGAGACTGAACTCAGTGGCAACCCTGTAGGCATGCTGCTGCAGACACGCTGGCCCTGGCCTTTCTTTTCAGGCAAAGATCCTGCTCCACTGGGAACTTTGTATAAGCTCCACTTTGCAGATAAAATTGTTCTTCAAAATCAAAGGGCTTTGTATTATAATGCTGAGCTCCACTAAGTTGCATATGAGTAGGTGTGTGTGTGTGTGTGTGTGTGTGTGTGTGTGTGTGTGGCATGTAGCATAAGGAGAAGGCATATATATTCTCTCCTGCCTGGTTACTTACTCCTAACAGGATGCTACCTAGAGTCCATGGATGAGACTATAGAGGATTCATCAATTTCCAGAAATTTAGTACAAAATTTGAAAGGCACTAGCCTTCTCCAAATCCTCTAAGAGGGCCTGAGACCTTAGGAACAACAGGAATCACAACTATAAAAGACCTGGTTATTCACCACAGAAGCCCACTCCCCAGCCATCTTCCTGGTTTCATTTCATAGCGCCCCAGGTCTTTGCTGTTGCCAAGATGCATGGCCTGCTGCCCAACAAGACAAGCTCATATCCGAGTTAGTTCTGCCACCTACAGCCCACAGCCCAGTAGAGCCACTACACAGCACAGCAGAGAGGGAGTCTCATCTGCATACATGAATAAGGGGAGGACTGCCTCTCCAGCCCGGGGCCTCTTCACTGAGAGGAAAATGGCTTTGGGGATTCTCCATTAGTATTCAGAGATGCAAGCTCCTTTGGGGTCAGTTACAATGATGGGAAGATATTTTGACATTAAAGGGGAATCGAGAGATTTTGAGGATTAAATCCTGAAAAAAAAAATAATGTTTCCTGAAATCTAGAGAGGAAAGGTACTGTAAAAAGAAAGAGACAATGAGCTCATGGTTTCCACAATAAACATAGCTCTCTGGGTGCAGAAGCAGTTTGATGCTGGGAGTCCTTTCTAGGTCCCAACAGGTCATCTTTGCTATCTATCTAGCCATATAATAAAAACACTTGCTTCAGAGGAATATGATTTCCTAAGACACTTGGACTGAACTCGGAGTAGGTTTCTTATATGCTCATGGGGGCAGAATGCTCTTTGAGAGCAGAGATTATGTTGTTCTTATCTCTGGGTCCCCACATAGGACATCTTTGAGCCTGACACTTAGGATGAAGCTCAATAAATGCCCATTGACTTAAAGCAATAGAAATGTGGATGTTTTGTAATCTATGCTGTGCTTGCTGATATTCAATCATAATACCTACAGATTGTTGAGCTCTTATGCATTAGACACAGTATTTCAAATTCTCTCAATGTACAAGATGGGTATTGTTTTGCAAGTGAAACTGAGACTCAGCATTATTAAGTATTTTTTCAAGGATACACATTTGTGATGGAGTCAAAATCCATACCCAGATGTCAGAGTTTGTAATCCCATGTTTTTTCCACTCCACCCATGTTTTTTTATATCCATGACAAGCTCACTTACAGTGAAAGGAAAATGAACCAAAAGGATATAATTCAAAATCTTTTAAAACTTTTTTTAATTAAAAATTGTTTCCCAGTCCTTAGAACTTCTCTGACAGCTTTTCTAATGTCCTTGCTTGATAATGGATGCAGATACCTGCTGACCCTGAGCTAGCAGTGGTTCTATCTTGAAGAATGAGTCATTCTCAAATGTACTTGTAGAGATGATCATGGGACCCTTGAGGCCATTTTGTCTGATGAACAATAGCTGGGTAAGGCAGTGAGCTTTTCTGTAATTTGAAGATACTTTGATTGGCAGCAAGGAATTCTTAATAGGGAAAAGTACTCTTCGCCATTTTGGAATATAGAGCTTACTGTATAATAATTCTGCCTCTTCCACAGACTATTTCTTTATTGATATTTTAGATTTCAAAAAGAACTCCAAACTAAGCAAGAAAGTACACAAGACAGAAGATCCAGGCCTCGTTACTTTTCTGGATTTGTAATGCTGGATTCCCTGGGATTGAGTGGCTTTGTCCCAGGGGGCACATTGTACGTGTGTTGCTCAGCCTTTGAAATATTGCTCTCTTGCTTTAGAGAAACTACATTTGGAAGAAAGTGGGGTGAAGTGAAAAGAGATTGGAGCTAGACTAGAGACAACTGGGCTTTGTCTATGTCTTGCTGTCTCTGTTATCTCTTCTAACATCCAGAATCCGTAGGATAGTGGGCCAGAAACTATAGCAATGTTTATCAGAATTACATGTTTTTTTTTAAAGGTTCATTCAGAGTCTCACATCCAGACCTAGTGAAACAGAAGAAACAGAGCCTGGAAGTCTGCATTTTTAGTAGTTCATTTGGTTTTGAGAGAGGGAATCCTTAGAGCACACTTCAAGGGACATTGGCCTAGAAAGATCATAGGATCTTTCTATCAACTGCTTCTTAAATATATCCATTCAATTGAGGAAAACCTGGGAATAGAGATAAAAGGCAGTCCCTGCATTCTAAGAACCCTTGGTCTAGTGGAAAAGACTGACTTAGAAACAAATAGTTACCAAGCGTGAATAAAACCATGGAGCAGAAAGGATAGCATGCCATGGGACAAACTGTAGGGAGGCACCAACTCAGCCAGTGCAGGAAGAGGTGCACATCTGGGGGAAAGAAGGAGCCAGGTCTTCAAGGATGAACAAGCATTAGCTGGGAAGAGGAGAGGGAAGAATTCAGTGGGCAAAACCAGCATGGCCTCCAAGGTAGTGCAAAAGGTGAAGGCTGACGCAAGGAAGGGGTCAGAAGGAAGGTAAGACTCTGAACCTCACATCTGTCTTCCATGATGAACTGATTCTTTTTCACCTGGGCAGAGGCATTGCCAATATTTCTATCACTGTAATTGCAATGGCGATGAATGTAGCATTCCAATTTGTGGTCTCTGTCCTCGTAGATATAGTTCTTTTGATGCAGTGATAGTCTAATAAGCTTGCAGCTGAGAAGGGATTCAGGAAAGTCTGAGGTGTTATCCTAAATGGTTTTACCTTCTTGTTGCATTCATTAATCTTTGTCATCAGATGTCTTGGACCAAAGTAAAGCTGAAAAATCTATCCAAAGGAGAAAACAAGGTGACTGTGTGCGGAACCACAGTAAAACCTCCCACATAGAATGAATCCTGGCACATGTTATTTACATTATCATCATGTGCGAAATACAAATGAGTACATGAATAAAAATAAAATAGCATTCATCATCTGCCTCTGTAAGAATTAAAATCGAAAAGAACCTGTGCTTGCTACTCTGTTCTCCGAAGTTTCAAAGATGGATTTCACTGCCAGATTATCTGCATAAACTAGCATTGTAACTCACAGTGTGTGGTTACACAAACAAGAACAAGAGCCAGCAGCCAGAGGAGAAATCAGAGCGTGCCGCGTTCCACAGAAGAGAGCTTTTTCTTTAACCAGGGAGAATCATCTGAATTTATAATAGAGCAACATGTGTATAACCCATAGTCTATACAGGAAGTGTGTGTGTGAGTGTGTGTGTGTGTGTGTGTGTGTGTACATCACATTCAGCCGTAATATCATATTACAAATGATTCTAAGTTAAGTGGCTATAATCAAGCATTGGTAATATTTCTTTCCCCCAAAACTTATATAGAGAAAATCAAAACCAAGAAAGGACAGAAAAATATCCATAAGCTGTCTAATTGATTCCAGCTGTTTATTGATGGTGGTTAATATTATCAAGTAGCGGAACACCAATGTCTTTGGACTCCTTGCAGTTGTGTGTAATACTGGAGCCAATGCAGGAGCTGATGTCCAGACATAAAACCTACAACCTCAGTCCCCGAGACTGCCTGAAGACCTGCTTGTTTCAGAAGTGGCAGCGGATGGTGGCACCGCCAGGTACATGCTCATTCTTCACTCTTTTCTGGGGATAGAGTGATGTGAGAGGGAAGAAAATGAAGGTAAATTTGTCAGAAAAAGTCATTTGTTAGGGACATTCTGACCACGATTTTAGACATGGAGACATTGAACTTCCAAAGACCAGACATCCTTAAGGATGATGTATAGTCTCTCCTTGCTAGTTGAGGACCTGAAACCCAGAGGAGTAACTTGATTTGTTCAAGGTCATTGGGAAGGTCAGCAGCAAAGCCAGGGTCAAAACCAGGATTTTCAGTCTCCCAATCCAGTGATGTTACCACTGGACCAGACCCCTGACTTCTGTGGCCTTATGTTTTGGGGTTTGGGTTTTTAAGGATGATAGGAAGGAAGAAAGAGAGGGTGAAAAAAAGATAGAAGGAGGAAGGGAAGATAAATAAAATTTGCTCTATTTTTAAAACGTATCAAAAGGAACTCTGATTATGAAGAGAAGACATAAAAGACTCCATTTCTCTCACTTCCCCGGACTGCAGTTTAGATACTATAGTCTCCTGCTGGGGTTCTGAAATTACTGCTTCAAGTCATCGTTAATTGTCTTTCTATCTAATACATTTTCACTCCCAGGCTTGTGTCGAGCCTCATTGATCATAAAAGCAAAACATGTCCATTCGCTAAAAATTATTTTTATAAAGAGTAATTATTAACATGAGACCCATACCTTTCTGAATCACAAAATATAACCATCACCTTCTACTGGTATTGGCCAGGGGCTTTCTATAAAATGGATATAGAGGATTTAACCAAGTACATACTTAGAAAGCTGATAAAATATATTTTATTTTACATAGTATGGCTGCATTCCCATTCTAGGGGAATTTTAGGCTTTTAGAATATTATTTTTCAAGTATATTAAATATACTGAAAATGGCTTTATTTTCTCTTTCAATATCAATAATTTTTTACAAAAAAATAAAAAAGACCTCTTCACCCACCAAATACTTTGAGCACCTATATTTTCCAGCATATTCATATATAACTCATATTATTCATTCATTCATTCAACAGTTATTTATTGAACCCTACTATGCAGAAGGTACTGCTGCAACCACTGTGGATATATCATGGAAACAGTCCAAAATATTGACTCTTCACAATAGCTTTATGAGATATTTATTCTTTTTTTTTTTTTTTGCGGGGGATTGCGGGGGTACCATGGAATGAACTCTGGGGCACTTGACCACTGAGCCACATCCTCAGCTCTATTTTGTATTTTATTTAGAGACAGGATCTCATTAAGTTGCTTAACGCTGGCTTTGAACTTGCAATCCTCCTATCTCAGTCTCCTGAGCTGCTGGGATTATAGGCGTGCACCACCACGCCTTGTGAGATATTTATTCTTATCCACATTTTATATAATGATGACCAAGACTAAAAGTTGTGATTTGCTAAAGTCAGTCTCACAACTAATAAATGAAGGAGGACTGTGAAACAAAAAGTATTCTATCTCTAAATTCTATGATTTCACTGCCATAGACACCAGCTACCAATGAGTATCATCTACTATTTGCATTTTAGTTGAATTCACCCCAAATTTTATAAACAAAGTGTAAATGCAAAATAAATAAATAAATGAAGATAGCCTATTTACATTCTTAACATCAAAATGGGAAAGTGCTTATCAGAGGTAGACCTGTGTATCTGATTGACTTTAAAATGTCAGCTTAATTCTCCTTCTAACTTCATAACCTAGATCAATTCTATTTCTTTCTATTGTCTTTCAGAATAAGCACCTACAACACCATTAAATACTTTGATGTAAAATCTTTGAGCATAAGGGAAAAAATATTCATGAAAGACACAAATTGGTAAATAAATAGGAATATAATCCCCTCTTGATCATCATGGTCAAGGATAACTTAGTGGAATAAATAGTCTTTGTAGTGAGCCTTATAAATCAGGTGGTGGTGCATGCCTATAATTCCAGCCACTCAGAAGGCAGAGGCAGGAAAATAACAAGTTCAAAGCCAGCCTGGGCAGCTTAATGAGATTCTGTCTCAAAATAAAATAAAAAGGCCTAGGGGTGTAGCTCAGTAATAGAGTGCCCCTGGGTTAAATTCCCAGAACTGAAGGAGGAAAAAGAAGAGAAAGAGGAAGAAAATAAATGAACCTTATAAGTATTTCTCTCCTTGTCCATCAGAAGAACTATAGGTGTGTCAAAAAGATGTTAGGAGGACCATTTATTGAGTTAAACTCTCTCTGTCTTACCTTCTCACTTTCAGAGTCAAGTCTAAAATAGGGTTAGCAAAAAGTGCCCACTTACTTGCCATTTCCACCTTGTTCAGTACTGTGAGGAAAACACTTCTGAAGATTGCTTATTTACAAGACAAAGATTATAAGTAAAAGTATGTACTAGGGTTTTTATGATTATAAAATAGTTGATGCATCAAAAACACTAAGAGTAACACATTGAGTAACATTCTATACATAGCAAACAAATAAGTAACATTCCTCTTACCACATTTTATTTATAAGGTGTTGCTCCATTCTTCAGATGCAAAATTTTTTTCTTAGTTTCTGAATAAGATCTTTTTTTTTAAATAGGACTAGCTCCCTTCATTAATATGCTGACTATATCACATATGAGGCTTTTTCCCCAGAGATCCTGAAACTAGTAGCATTGATAAAACACCAGGGTCCAAACCATGGGTATTTCTGAAGAGCTCTGGAATCCCCAAGTACACATGCTCAATTGAGAAAACTGCCACTTTTCTTACTTGAGATTATTAAGGTGCCATAGAGGTAGGCTGCAATGCGACACTTGGCCAGTAGGTGCTGCTGTTGCACACTGGTTCACTAATTCTACTGTCCATTACTTTCACTCTTGCAGGGTCTAGGGATCCCAGCAGTCCTTCCAGGCTCAGGGAGCAAATTCCCAAATGTTCTAATGGTAAAAATGTTTTAAATGCAATTATAAAAGGAGTACCTGCCGCTTATCCCTAAAATAATGTTAGTAAATTGCAGACATATAGTGAAAAATAAAATAACAATCATTTCATCTTATATGCAAAAGAAAAGAGTTTCCTCAAATTCTGCACTAAAAATGAATCAGCAGCTTTCTCCCTTTGTTTTTTTTTTTTTTGTTGTTGTTGTTGTTGTTTTTTGTAAAGTTGCAAGAAATGGGAAATTTTTAAGTAGTCCACTCTTTTCAATTGACAAAATTGGAATCCTGTGCCTGATACTTTTGCCTTAGAACTGATCCTTCTCCCCTCGTCCTTACTGCAGCAGAACCCACAAGGCAGCCGACAACCAAAAGGAGAAAAAGAAAAAATTCCACCAGCAGCACTTCCAACAGCAGTGCTGGGAACAACGCCAACAGCACGGGCAGCAAGAAGAAGACCCCGGCTGCAAACCTGAGCCTGTCCAGTCAGGTACCTGTAAGTCTCGCTTTCCTTTTAGGCCTGAAATCTTGCCTTTGCCTGTCACCCTGTGCACGGGGTTTGAATTAAAGCCTCTTTGAGCTGCAAAAGAAAAGAAAAGAAAACATTCTGGGCAGGTTCAAAGTTGGGGAGGAGGCAAGGCAAGGACCTGGGTGGGACAGAAGGAAAGAATCTTTCGTGACAACCTTCCCCAGAAAACTGGGTGTTCGGAGGGGATATTAAGAGTCAGCACTGCAGTGGGACCTGAATTAAAAAGCTCTCAGAGTCATAGACAGAAGATATGTCACTTAAGGTTCATTAAAAATGTCACCTAACAGTATGCCTGGTGGCATATTAGGACCTCTCCTCAGGGACATAGGAGACCCTGTGAGCCCTGGAAGCCAGCCCCAGAGCCCAGGCCCTGTACTGTAATTTGACTGGGCCCTCTCAACATGGTGTCTTATTTTAAGACTCAGGTAATGAACTTGCAGCCACTAAAGATTCAGCTTAGTAGGTTTTGCTGTACCTGTTTCATTAGCTCAGGGGGACGATCAGCTCCTGGTTTGGTCTCAACTCTCTTGATCCCTTGACCCCTTTCTTTCATTTCTGGGTCTGGACACAGGCCACATGAAAGGGGGCCTCTTGGAACTCTGAAACCAAAAGCTAAGGGTCATCCCCAAATAGTGGAACCTGCAGGCAATGTCCTTATCATCTATCATCCTTCTCGAACTGCGTCCCTTCTGCCTAATTCCTTCCTGTATCCGAATTCCCCAGCCCAGCATCAGACTATCACTTTTAACTTCTCCTGTTCCTGTAAACATCTACGTCCTTTCTCCCCTCCACGATTCCTTGTGGGTTTTCCTTTTCTTCTGTCCTTGTCACATCACCCTGTCACCAGGTGTTTGACTCCCATTTGAATCCTGACCCTTTCTTGGTGCTCCATGGCTGCCCTCTAGATGCCACATCTTCAGAGGTGTGCCTCATTCCTTGTTCTTCCCTCCGCCAACACGCGTTTGCCTTCTCCAACTTTCTCACTTTTCTCCATTCTCAATCTGTTGTCCTCACCTGTCTTGTTCTGATCCTGTTCCATCTCTTTCCGTGTAAGAGGAGACTTTTACACAGAAATTTCCCTCACTTCCAAATGTGCCTTTCAAATCTGTCCCCGTCCCACTTTTTCTCACTTTCTATTGGTTAATTCTCTTTAAACAAAACCAGACCCATCAGTACCCTGAGAATTCCCTGGGCCAGTAGGAATGTTCTCCTATCTTCTATGGTGGGGGTATAATGGCCACTGTGTTAGAAAGAAGGGGTCATAGAGATAATGGCCATCTGCCGTGGAAGATGCCATTTTAACTTTAAGAAGACCAAGAACTGTAGTCCTCACATAACAAAATAATCCTCAGATAGTTCTCTATTTTCTGAGCAGGACTTTATATCTATCACCACTGAAGTTCAAGGGGGGAAAAACCCAAGTTGAGTCTCTGTATTTAGGTACCAACCTGCTATGCCCTCTCCTGGCTAAACTGGAAAATGCTTAGAGAGGATGGCCAATGTACAGAAATTGACTGAAAAAAGTGCGCACAGTAGTCTATTTATTCTTCTAGTCCAGGAGTTTGAGAAATTAGCATTTGTTATTGTCCTCTAACAAAAGAAGACAGTACACTTCAGAGAATTCTGGAAGTGAGACATGCCTACCAACAGATGCAGGAATTCAAGTCAGTTCAGCAAGTGTTTTCTGAGATCCTGCTCTTCTGCACACTGTGCCAGGCACTGGTGATACTGGTGATAGCAATATCAAAAAACAAAACAAAATGACTGAGTGGTGTCATTGACCTTGAAGAGCTCAAGATCTAATCCGGGGATGGAAAGAGTTTCCTCTCTTTTGCAGGCTCAGAGTACAGTGTTGAGAAGGATTCTCAGCCTGACTGGGTTTGGTGGCCACCCATTAGTGATGGCTGCCAGGGTGTGAAGCCGAGAGTAGAAGCCTGCGCATTCATGTTGTATATTTTTGATAGACCTGGTCTCATGGGAATGCTTTCCATTTTATTTCAAAGAGCACTTATTTTTTTCTATTCATTATGCACCTGTTCTCCAATCCAACAACTGCACTTTCATGAAGGACCCTGTGTCAAGAGGGTTCTTAGTGGGTTAAAACCCTTTGAAATCTATGCAGGCAAAACACCACTAGAAATGGAGAGCTCAATTGCAACATTATCCTCATACTGTGCAATTAAAAATATTTTGATTAAATAAGACTTTCAGATGGCCCAGAGACACGGGGAAGACAAACAGGTTAGGAAAATATGCAGATTGTTAGGTGTCTTTGAGTTCAATGGACATTCAGTGATAAGCATGGATAGCTTGTAGTGACCACATCTTTTAACCCTGTCTACCTACTGAATCATTGACCCTCTCCTACTATTTAAATGGAAGTGCTGTCTGCAGGCAGTAGCTGCCTGTCCATGGACCACAGCCATGATCGGTGTAGCTGCTGCGGCAGCAATGTGTGTGTGTGGCCAGGAGTAGGGTTTAATCCTTGGATTCTGCTTCTCACTCCATGAGCAGGGGCTAGGAGCGATCCCGAACTGCAGCCTCAACCCTGGGAGGGATGGAGACCTGTGTCATTCAACAGCAGTGACCCCTTCTGGCCAATTTAAGGAGAAGCATTGAGGGGCCCTGAAAGGAGTCACTTCCAGTCCTCCTCAGAGGTTGGTGGTCCTTGCACGGGGATTTAGTGAGAAGATGTGAAATGGGAAAAGCTGGCGGTACCTCCGGGCCTCCAGTCCAGGAGCAGAGGTCGGCCTTGTGGGGAGCTGAGGGCACCTGGGCTACTTAAGATGGTCACTGTTGCCTCTGTGGGACACACAAGCTGGAGCTGGGAAGGAAATGCACTCTCCCTACCAACGTGGGGGGACTTTTGGAGATGTGGGTGGGGGAGATGCGGCTCACATCCCCAGTGAAAGGAAGCCCAGAATGTGCATTGTGTCTCCATTCATTTTGTGTGAGGATAACAAATCGCGACAGTTGGTCAGAACAGAGAATCACTATCCTAGTGTGAAGGCTCAAAAGAAGCAAGTAGAAATGTGCATATAATTTTGTAAGTGACCTCAAGTGTCTGTGTGCATATGAAGTCCTCAGCCTTCTCAGTCTTTTTACAGCTTGCCACCTGTCAGTCATACAAATACACATACACACACACACACATACACACATACACACACAATTCTATATCTGACCTAAGGCTATATTTCTTTTATAATCATAAAGTAAATGTGGCATATTTCTAGAGCTTAGAATACCTAAAAATGCCTATGCCTGGCCATCTTTCCCAACTGTTCCTAGAAAAATAAAAAAGATTCACTGCCCCCACTGCCCCCACATCACCCCATTTGAAGTGATTTGAACCACTACTTTCATAGAACTTTTCTTGCATGATGGTTGTTTTCTAATACAAGGATTGCATCTGGAGTGCTGGGGACTTTTCTTCTAAAGTCACGCTTAAGTCGGCTGCTTCTTGTTTTCTCCTCTGTTTTTCAAATCATGCATTCTTCCTCCCAGCCCCTCTAGATGACCTTGGAGTCAATCCCAAGGCAGATCCCTGTGGTTGGTTCTAACACCCTTCCCCTGCCCGGTGACACCTAATGCATGAGTTTTCCAAGACCTTCAAAGTGCTCTGCATCCAGTCAAGAAAATAGATTAACCCTCCTGCTGAGCTCTGGCCAGTCTTGCTCTACCCTTCCTGCCTACCTTTGTTCCCGGTCATAGGTGCAGCCTCCCAATGGCCTGTAACTAAGTAACACTTTTTTTTTTTTTATCCTGAACACCCCCAGGTCATATGGCAGCTGCCCAGATAACTGAGTCATGTCCACACATCTGTGTGGTGGCCACATTCCATCCAAAATCCCATTGTCATTCTTGCCAGTCAGAGAGACTGTGTCTGTTTTGCATCTCATCTTAAGTCCTCCCGAGTCTCCTTCCATGTCAGTGTCATTTCCGGCTCTTCGTTGCCTAGCAAATATGTTCTTCGAAGCACCCAGCTCAATATCCTGCCAGCACCTTTACTGCTGAGTTGACCCAGTTCACATTTTCGCACGTCCTCCATCAGGGATATGTCTTTTTATCAACTTGGAGGAGCAACTAGTCAGAAAACACAGTTTGGAAATCTATGGATTATCTCACCTAAATCAAAGGAGTGGGAGAATAAATAAATAAAATAAAACAAGAAGCAAGGTTTTTTATCCCAAAGGCCAGGTGGGGATTCAGAGATTTGTTCACTGGGCAGCTTCAGAATTCTGAGGGGGATCTAAGGATCCCCATGGCCCTTCTGAGCACCGACAGCATTCCACTAAACCACCCAGGGACACCTTCTTTTGGCAAAGCCTGAGAGGAAAGAACTTTTGTGCAGTTGTCCAAGCAGCTGATTGATATAGCCTCCTTACCAGGAGACTCCGCCCACATTCTGGCCCAGACCTGTTTTTTCTGGCCCTAGGAAGGCCAGAGCAGTAATTTCAGCTCCTGAAGTCACTGAACTTTTAAGTAAAATATTGCTCAGCACCTGTCCAGAAGAATCTACCCGGCAGGTGTCCTGTCCCACAGCCAGGCTGCCCATCAACACATATGGCCCTCTTTGAACAAAAAGGCCAGAGCTGTGCCTGTGTGTGTGTCCCTTGTATCAAGCTCCGTCCCTGGGCTTCTCCAGCTGTGGCCTCTGCAGGGCTCCCAGCTACAGTAGGTGGCTTCTTGTTTGCATGGAAGGACAATTTGTACTTAAAGGAGTGATTAGATGGATTCTTCTTACCCACTTCCATTTCTGATGACTACTGGCTTCATCAGTGTAATTATAATTAGCTCTCTTCATCTTCCTTTTATGGTACCAGCTGGACAGACTGGTTCTCTTTACTGCCCAGATTGGTAGCAGGGTTGTCTGTGTGGGGCTAGGTGACAGGCACCATGAAATAACAGATGGTAAATTCAGGGCTTGTTGGCAATCAGCAGGTTTTTGCTAATGACTTAATTAGCTATGCAAATTGTCAAATCAGTGTGAACATTGTTTTTATCGAAAACTTTACCTAAATTAATTACCATAATTAAGTAGCAGAATGTCAAGGATATTGGCTGCATAAAAGGGCCTAGCTGAGTAGAGAAAAGAGAAATTCTGTCTTCAATTAAAATGTATGCCATCCTTGGGACAGAGAAAACCGAGTTGTGTGAATGTTGTACAATCGCACCTTCCGCGCGTCCCTATTCGCCACTAGTCTCCAAAGCCACTCACGGGCCCTCCATAAAAGTGGCGGATTTTTGGAGGTATTGAAAAAGCACCCAGCAGAAGGTTCCACAGCCCTCTCCAAAGTCCCCAGAGTCAGCAAGTTCAAAGCGTGGATTTTTTTAATTTTGAAAAATCCATTTTTTTATTTCTGCAGATTGCTAGCATTGCTCGTTCTCCGGTGTCAGGCTGCGCACTAAGGACATAAACTCGCGTGGTTGTTACACGTCAGGAGGCGATGTTTATTTCCTGTAGAAATCCAATATGCGTCTCGGCCCCGACATTGAGACTTGGCCCCGTTGTGTCCTAGGTTCCCAGCTCCTCCCACTATTATTTTAAGCTGAGCTTCTCTCTCTCCCAAGGTTTCCCTGTAATAATGTCAGCTGCTATTCACAGGATGTGATGGTGGTAGGAGAGCCAACTCTGATGGGAGGTGAGTTTGGGGACGAGGACGAAAGGCTAATCACTAGATTAGAAAACACGCAGTTTGATGCGGCCAACGGCATGGACGACGAAGAGGACTTCAACAATTCACCCGCCCTGGGGAACAACAGCCCATGGAACAGTAAACCTCCCGCCACGCAAGAGACCAAATCAGAAAACCCCCCGCCCCAGGCTTCCCAGTAAGATGACCCACGGCACCAGATCCATAGGCCTGGGGGGTGTCATTCCAATCGCAGACCTTTACTTTCAGGAGAGGAAGGAGGAGAAATAAAAAAACTTTTCCATGCAAATATCTATTTCTAAACCACTACGATCTGGTTCTTCTTTCTTTTGCATTTTTTTTTCTTTTTTAATTGAGAGGATCGTTCCAAATAAAGCTTCCATGACCCTTCCTTGGAGGGCTTCACGGGAAATACAGATACTGGCACTGATGGTAATTAAAACGAGAGAAAACACTAGCGCATCTCCTGGCACAGTCTTATCAGCGTGTTTGTGTTGAATTTCCTTTTCATGCATCCAGCGAAGGCCATGCTGCCCATGCGTGCTCAGTGCTCAGGATCTCATTAATATGCCGAACCTAACTACAGGTGACTTTTTAATATTGTAAAATATTTTCTGCTTTTTGACTTGCATTTGAGAGTTTCTTGTTTCAGTAAAAAATGAAAAGAAAAAAATCAGCTTTTGGAAAGTAATTTAAATGTACTCTTATTTTTCTTTTCCTTCGTCTCTTTCTCCCATTGAGCAACAGCCAAGAGGGTCCAGCCAGGTAACTTATGGTCAAACTGATGCCAATTGGTTCTTGAGTCTGGGTTGGTTCCATTTAGCCCAAGAGCTGAAACAAGAAATGTCTTGTTATCATCAAAGACACCAGGCAGATTTTTTTTTTATGTAAAGAAAGACAATTGGACCCTGAAAAAAAAAATGTATGCGTTTGTAGAGTTGCTGTTGATCCAAATATTTTCAAGCCATGTAATCCATTAATTTTGTGGGCAGTTTAATAAATCTAAAACTTTTTGTGTTTTTTTTTAATTGTATCTGAGTTGACTGTTCTTCCTTTTCATAGTATATTTCTTGTATGATATTTTGTAAAGCCCTCACCTGGTTCTTTTATGGGGACTTTTCATTTTGGACTATTCCAGTGTATTTATGTGAAACTTTATAAGAGAACTAATTTTTCCATTTGCCTATTAATATGTTCCTCCACACATGTAAAGACACAGTGGCTCCGTGTGTTACAAAACAGCTGTATTTTATGTATGCTTTACTGGTAATGTGCCAATAATAAACTGTGTTAATGACCTAAGTAAGTGAATCTGGCAATTTGTGTGTGTGTGTGTGTGTGTGTGTGTGTGTCAATCTGCTCACAATTACCAAGAGTGTTGACCTTAGATTTATGGTCTGGACTCCAAATAGAGTGGAATCCTAAAAGCTGTGTGAAGCAGGTCCACTGTGCCCTGGCTACTGACTTGTCTGAGACCGGGGAGACAGAACACACTTAGGTGCAACGAGTTACATGAAATGGTTTTGTTGCTTACAGACAAGCAGCAAGGGAAAACAGAAGCCTAGGACCCATGCCAGCCCATCCTCCATGCCTCAGCAAAGCTGCCCAGGGCAGATGGAGTCTTGATCATGCATGCCCCACTTCACTGCAGCTGAGGGACCCTGGAAAGCAGCCTGCCTGGGTTTTACACCTGGGGGCAGAGGACAGGCGGCCCTGAGCAGGGAAGCCAGCCTTAGTTTTGTGTCGTTTTAACAGAATCCCACAGACAGGGCGATTCAGGAAAATGTCCTCACCACAGTTCCTGGAGGCTGGGAAGCCTGAAACCGAGGTGCCAGCATTTGTAAAGCATGGTTCCTTTCCTTACCCACTGTGTCTGTGTGGGGCAGACACAGGGGTGCCCTCTCTGCCATGAGCACTGCCCACTGAAGGCACAGTGATGGGAAGCACAGGGGGTGTGGACTCGAGTCGGATGGAAAGGCAGCAGCTTCCCCATCCCAGGTGCTCACTCTGCACTAGAGAACTCCAGTCAAGCTCCTAGACATTATTTCCAATGATTCTTATAATAACTTGTTCCAATAATCATTAATATCCCACATTTTAAAAAGTCAAGGTCTCTCTGGTTTGTAATTCTGAAAGGTTCCTATACAGAGTATAGAAAATTCACTTGAGAATCTTTGACGTTTAAAGAACATTCCTCATATTTTTCCACTTTGTATGAATGAGAAAGATGAAAAAGAAAATCTGTTATCATTTATTGTTTATTGAGTGCTAAGCAAGTCAAGTTAACCTCTCAGTAAATTTTGGAGAAAAGCATTTGGAAAAGAGAAATGGAGGGAGATGGTTTGTCTTACGGTAGGATCCCTAGAAGCAGAGCACAAGTCTGAGATTTGAGGGCATGGGATTTGTTAGGGTAATTTTCTCTGGAGAAGAGCCTTTAGGGAGTGGGGAAGGCAGGAAAAGAAGGAGACGGGAGGCAAGAAAAGCTGCGGATCTCCATAGTAGTCTATTCGTGGGCCTGATCCATGGGAGAGGGCTTTGGAGCACTGATCTTCTACACAATCATCCCTCCTGTGCTAGAGACCCACCCACTTCTGCGCACCTGTAACCAATCATCATTGGCTGGGGACCATGAAGAGGTGTGTGAGGGGGTTATAGCCCCAAAGCAAAATGGCCACATTTTGAACAGCTGAGGGATGTTCTGCAGGGCAGGAGCCAACTGGATGCCAACAGCCACAGCATCTTGGGATGGACAGCTGGCTCCGCAAAGGACATCTGGGTAGAAACTAAGAGTCAACTCCACTAAGTGATCACCCCTAGTTATGTTTACCATGGGTGACACAGTTGGGATTTGATTCTATATATCCCTTGACTCATAGCTTCATTTTTTTTTCTAGAACATCACTTCGCCTCCCTAGCACAGCTCTTGGGGGAAAATGTGAGCCCAGTAGGAAGAGAACCACAGGAAATATATGGAAACTGCTGCCTGACTACTTTCTCACTAGTGTCCTTCTGAGAGCCTTTCCAGTTTTTCCTCCACTCCACCTCACCATTTTAAGTTTTCTTTTATCAATTCTTCAAAGTAAAACCCATATAAGCATTATTACAGGTGATGGGAAGGACAATTTATTTTAACACCTGTTCTGGCTGTCTACTGTTGTACAGCAAATCAATCCGAAACTTAATAAGCCCAGAGAATGACTTACTACTCTGATTTGACCTTCCAAGACCTTTGCTGGGTGGTATGCACTTTAGGTGGAGCCATCAAACTAAGTCATCATTGACTGAGACGAACATTCAAGATGGAGCACTCACAAGGCTGGGTACTGGGTGGGAGCTCAGCCAGGACTGGTGACTGGAGTGTTTTTACAGCCTCTCTGGGAGGTTCTCACAAATGGTGGGTTTTGAGAGGCAGTGTCCCAAGAAACAGCGTCCCAGGACAGAGGAAATATAAATCACCATTGTTCAGAACTGGCACTGAGTCATTTGTATCCATTGCCCATGACAGTGACAGGGATAGTCACTGGTCAGCCTGGATTTAAGGCATCAAGGGAGACCCCACTTGTGGATGGTAAGTGGCATGTGCACACTGGAAATGGAGGAATTGATATCCACCATCTTTAGAACAAAAACTTTACGACCTCCATGGCAATTTACACCTGGCCTCAGTTTACCCCTCAGTCTTATCTTCAGCCCCTCTCCACTCGCTCCTGATTCCCTCTACCCTGCACTCCTCCTTATTTCCTGAAAACACTGTGCTCATGGCTCATTTGCTTTTGCATATGCTTTCCCCTCTTATGATGCTGCTCCACACTTTTTTATGCAACCAAAGCTATTTGTCTTTAAAAATCTTGATTCTACAACCTCTGAGACATCTCAGCATCTCTGGTTATGGTCAATTGTCCATCTGGGCTCAAGGGGACTTGATTCTTTAGTCTCCCTTTGCATTTTCCTTACAAGTTATATTGCTGTTGCAGAATTCCCCTCACCATCCCACTGGACTTCACTAATTCTGAGAGGTGTCATCATTTTAATCAATATCTTTAATATCTAACCCCATCATATATCTTGATAAAGAAGATAAACTCAGAATTTCTCAAGGAAGAAATCATGAAACCACTGTTTATTACACACTGTCCCATGAAGTAGCAAATGGTTTGTAACTCTATGCCACAACTTGGGGGTGATATTAATTCCTGTAGATATACAGGTTGTATATCCTTAGTTTAAAAATCTAAATCCAAAATATTTCAAAATCCAAAGTGTTCTAAACACTGATATGATCCACAGTGGAAAATTTCACCCTGACTTCATGGGATAGGCCACAGTCAAGGTGCAGGAGCACTGCCAGGAGCCAGGGTGCACGTCTGTAATCCCAGCGACCCGGGAGGCTGAGGCAGGAGGACTGCAAGTTCAAGGCCAGCCTCAGCAAGTTAGCAAGGCCCTCAGCAACTTTGTGAGACCAAAATAAAAAGGCTGGGGCTGTAGCTCAGTGGTAAAGCAATACTGGGCTCAATCTCCAATACAAAACAAGAAAATATGCAGGTACACTAAAAACATTGTATGAAACTGCCTTCCGGCTGTGTGTATAAGGTTGTATGAAACATAAATGAGTTGTTGTATTTAGACTTGTGTCCTATCCTTAAAATATCTCATTTTATTATGTTTATGCAAATATTCCAAAATTTGAGGAAAAAAAAACACTTTAGAAGCACTTCTTTTTCCAAGCACTTCTTGTATTCTTTTTTAAATTGCTCTTATTTTTTAAATATATGACAGTGGAATGCATCACAATTCTTATTACACATATAGAGCACAATTTTTCATATCTCTGTTTGTATATAAAGTATGTTCACATCAATTCATGTCTTCATACATGTACTTTGGATAATGATGTCCATCACATTCTTCCATTATTGCTAACTCCCTGCCCCCTCCCTTCCCCTCCCACCCCTCTGCTCTATCTAGAGTTTGTTAATTCCTCCCATGCTCCCTCTACCTACCCCACTATGAGTCAGTCACCTTATATCAGAGAAAGCACTCGCCATTTGTTTTGTGGGGGATTGGCTAACTTCACTTAGCATTATCTTCTCCAACTGCATCCATTTACCTGCAAATGCAATGATTTTATTCTCTTTTATTGCTGAGTAATATTCCATTGTGTATATATACCAATTTTTTTTAATCTATTCATCTACTGAAGGGCATCTAGGTTGGTTCCACAGTTTAGCTATTGTGAATTGTGCTGCTATATCCTTGGAAAACTTGGAATGGAACCACCATTTGACCCAGCTATTACTCTCCTGGGTCTATATCCAAAGGACTTAAAAACAACATACTATAGGGACACAGGCACTTATTGTATTCTGAATAAGGGATACTCAACTCATAGACAGAGGTGGATGAATTCAAGTTTCTCAGAGGTCAGAACAAAACAAACATTTGACCAGAGAGTGAACCAAGCCTAACTTCTACTATAAATCCCATAAGACTTGTCAGAATCAGAATCATCACAGGGACCATCATTTATCAAGCACATATATGCACCAGTCACCTGCTTTGCCTTGGTTGTCTCAAACCAAGAACCCAAGGGTGCCGCATGAGTTGGGTTTTTTTTTTTTTTTTTGTAATAATCTCAAAATATCAGTGGCCTGTGGTTTTCTTCTGTGGGTCAAGAGAGAAGGTGGACAACAAGCCTAATGACCTTCACTTTGCCTTTTTCTCACTAATGAAACTGGATCAGCTGGAGCAGAGTTGCCTCTGGTCTGCATCTCATGACTGCTTCTAGGACAATGACACCTCAGGGCATGCATTGACCCTAGTGGGTAACAGGAGGAAAAGAAGCCAGAAAAAAATCACACACACTCACACACACATACACACACACACCTGCTCACACTGAGCCATTGGCCAATGCAAGTCACAAAGACACACCCAACACCAGTGGGATGGGGAAATACAGACTGCCTCCTGCAACATCGCATGGCAAAGGGTTTGGAAAGCCATCAGGATCCAGTCAACCACCAATGGCCTCCACAACATTGCCTAGAAACTTTCTCACTAATTTTCAAAGTTAAAAAACTAATGAATTTTCTGGAAAAAAAAAATTCTTGCTTATCTTAAAAAGTCAAAATGGACAACATCCCTGGATGGTGAAGTTGGCTGGTACTCTGTCACAGCTGACGGCTTAGGGGCTCACCTGCCCACCACATTCAGCCCACCCCTCCCGTTCACTTTACCTGCCCAGCTGCTGTTGGTGACCTCACTCACTACAGTCATGCTCTCTGCCCTTTAAAACCCCATCT